CTTCTCTCTCAAGTAAAAAAAATTTTTTTAAAAAGATTTTCTAAAATTGGGGCACCTGGGTGGCTCAGTGGGTTAAAGCCTCTGCCTTCGGCTCAGGTCGTGATCTCAGGGTCCTGGGATCGAGCCCCGCATGGGCTCTCTGCTCCACAAGCAAGGAGCCTGCTTCTCCATCTCTCTCTGCCTGGCTCTCTGCCTACTGATCTCTCTATCAAATAAATAAAATCTTTAAAAAAATTTCTTTTCTAAAATTGACACACACACGGAACACAACCAGGGGGAGTGGGAGGAGAAGCAGGCTTCCCACTGAGCAGGGAGTCCAATGTGGGGCTTGATCCCAGTACCCTGGGATCATGACCTGAGGTGAAGGCAGATGCTTAAGGACTGAGTCACCCAGGTGCCCAATAAATAAAAGATTTCATTTGTCAGAGTTGGGGCACAAGCAGGGGGAGCAGCAGGCAGAGAAGTGGCTCCTTGGTTCTTGTTCTTTTTAAACTTTATTTTTTTAAAGATTTTTATTTGACAGAGATCACAAGTAGGCAGAGAGATAGGCAGAGAGAGAGGGGAAGCAGGCTCCCTGCCAAGCAGACAGCCCAATGTGGGACTCGATCCCAGGACCCTGAGATCATGACCTGAGCTGAAGGCAGAAGCTTAACCCACTAAGCCACACAGGTGCCCCTCTTGTTCTTTTTAAAAATTCTTTGTTCTGGTGATAGAATAACAGGCATGGTACTAGGTAGGGCATATTCAAACTTGCAAGGGGGTCAGTAATACTATTTTTTTTTTTTTTTTAAGATTTTTATTTGTCAGAACAAGAGAGCATGCACAAGCAAGGGGAGTGGCAGGTGGAGGGAGAGAAGCAGGCTGGAGCAAGGAGCCTGATGTGGGATTCCATCCCAGGGTCCTGGGATCCTGACCTGAGTGGAAGGCAGATGCTTAACCAACTGAGCCACTGAGACATCCCGCTTCCCCCTTTTTAAATAAGATCTTTAATTACACCCAACATGGAGCTCAAACTTAAAACCCTGAAATCAAGAGGCACATTTTCCACCAGCTGAGCCAGCCAGGTACCCCTGTTCTTTTTTCAGTCTTAACGATGCTTGGAGATGAGAGAAAAATTTGATTCCAGTGTTATTTATGTTAAGCCACTGGGGAGCTCAAGATCAAAAACGTCCTAGTGGAGATATTTGGACTGAAGTGTACTAGTTAATGGACCAGTTGCTGTTATCCCTACTTTATAGATGGAGATGCTGAGGCACAAACTGGCCTTAAGGCTCATAACTGATGTGAAGTGGAGCAGGGATTTGAGTTGATACCCTTTGGGTGTAGAACTATCTGACCACTATGTTGTGCTGTGCTTAAAGACTTAGGTAGAATTCAGTTCTCCCGGGGTACCTTGGGTGGTGTAGTTGGTTAGGCATCTGGCTCTTGCTTTCTGCTCAGGTGGTGATCTGGGATGGAGCCCCCAGCTGAGCCCTGTGTCAGGCTTTGTGCGTAGTGTGGAGTCTGCTTCAGGTTCTCTTTCTTGCTTTGTCTCTGTCCCCCTGCTTGTGCTCTCTCTCAAAAAAATTAAATACTGCAAAAAAGAAATTCAGTTCTCCCTTTCCCCTAATCATCTCCCCAAGGAAAAAAGGCCCCCCAAAATTTTAACCTAGGAATAGTTTATTAGAGCCATTTCTTTTGCTTCAGGACTGCATTGGTTTTTGTAACTGCCTTTCTTTCTTTCTTTTTTTTTTTAAAGATTTTATTTGTCAGAATAAGAAGGGGGAAGCAGCAGGCAGAGAGAGCAAGGAGCCTGCTGATCAAAGAGCCTTCTTAGGGACTCAATCCCAACACCCTGGGATTATGACTGGAGCTGAAGGCAGACACTTAACTGACTGAGCCACCCAGGTGTTCCTGTAACTGCTCTTTTTAAGGATAACTTGGCAAGAAAGTATTAGCTAAGGCCTCATCATCTGAGAATCATTAGTTTTATGTGAAGTCTTATTTTTTAGAGATTTTATTTATTTGAGAGCAAGAGAGAGCGTGAGCAGAGGGAGGAGAAGCAGGCTCCTGTCTGAGGTGGGCCTCTCTCCCAGAACCCGAAGGTAGGCTTAACTGTCTGTGTCACCCAGGGGTCCCTTCATGTGGAGTTTTTAAAAAAAATTGTTAAGACATTGGAGATACATAGTAGTACCATTTGTTCCTTTCTTTTTTTTAAAGATTTTATTTATTTATTTGAGAGACAGATCACAAGTAGGCAGAGAGGCAGGCAGAGAGAGAGGAGGAAGCAGGCTCCCCGCTGAGCAGAGAGCCCAATGCGGGGCTCGATCCCAGGACCCTGAGATCATGACCTGAGCCGAAGGCAGAGGCTTAACCCACTGTGCCACCCAGGCACCCCCATTTGTTCCTTTCTTTAAAAAGATTTTATTTATTTGACAGATCACAAGTAGGTAGAGAGGGGGAAGCAGGCTCCCTGCTGAGCGGAGAGCCCAATGCAGGGCTCGATCCCAGGACTTTGAGCTCATGACCTGAGTCAAAGGCAGAGGTTTTAACCCACTGAGCCACCCTGGTGCCCCCATTTATTACTTTTTGCATGCAAGGCACTTAAGAGGTTGAAAAGCTGCCTTTTTATTAGGGCTCAGCCCTATGTAAAAGACCCAGAAAGGTTTGTTTTACCACAACAATCCTGGGAAATACCACTGGAACCCAGATAAAGGCATGCCTATAAGGCACTCTAGGACAGGTTTCAAGGTGTCCAGAGTTAAGGGACCAGCATGTTCTAGGGAATGGGGTGTGAGCAAATATTGCTGGAATCATGGGATATGTTAAAGGAAGACAGGTTGGATGGAGTCCTTAAAGGTTGGGCTGAAAGAGTTGAGGTGTCCTAATGTTAGAAGTAAGCCTGTCCTATCCATTTTGGTCACTCCAGCCCTTAAAGGTAGACTAGAGGTGGAGAACCTGTTGTGGGTGAGACATTAGGTATAAGCCAGGTGGAAGCAGTGAAGTTGAAAGAAGGTGATTACGTGTAAGTTGGAAGAGCTAGCATAGGCAACATTAGTCTTGAATGTTAGTCTGCTTTTTCTTTGTTTTTAAGTAAGCTTCATGCCCAGCATGGGGCTTGAACTCCCAACTCCAAGATCAGGGAGCCACACACTCCACTGACTGAGCCAGCCAGGCACGCCTGGATGTTAGTCTTAGAAGTCAGGTGGAAGAGCTCGCATCCCCAAGACTAAATCTGTGCTTTGTTGGAACGTTAGGATGTACTGTTTGCTAGTTAAGGTGATACCATGTCAAGATACAGAAATAGTGAAAGGAAGACCACTTCAGTTTGGATATGGCAAGGTCCTTGCAGAGCATATAAGTGACATAAGAACAGAACATTTCAGTGTCGAATATGGAATGGGGAGCATTAGCATTTATTTTGTGGGGTGGCTGGCTAAAGAACGATGAGCCTGGGGCACCTTGGTGGCTCAGTTGGTTAAGTGTCTGCCTTTGGCAGGGGTCATGGGCCCAGGGTCTTGGGATCCAGTCCTGCATTGGGCTCCCTGCTCAGTGGGGAGCCTGCTTCTCTCTGCCCTGCCCATGTGTGCTGTGCTCTCAAATAAATAAAACCTTAAAAAAAAAATGATGAGGGACGCCTGGGTGGCTCAGTGGGCTAAAGCCTCTGCCTTGGGCTCAGGTCATGATCCCAGGGTCCTGGGATGGAACCCCGCATTGGGCTCTCTGCTCAGCAGGCAGCCTGCTTCCCCCTCTCTGCCTGCCTCTCTGCCTACTTGTGATCTCTTTCTGTCAAATAAAAACCAAAAAAACAACCCCGCCCCCCAAACTTTAAAAACAAAGCAAAACAAAACGAAAAACTGATGAGCCTACAGGAAACTGGTAGGGCTGATAGCTGCTTTTGGAAAGCTCTGCTTTCCTCCTGGAATCCCAAGTAGCATTAGAAGCAGTTACTCCCATGTGATGAGTGGGTGACCTTGTCTTACCTTGATGCTTTCTCTTGTAGCAAATTACCTGTTTTCTCCTGTTGCTCAGGTGATCCAGTAGATGAGGATAGGGAAATTTTTTATAGACTCACAATATTGTGCGTACACCCCTAAGGGAGTGTATGGGAAGCATACACACCACATTTCTAGTTTTTGTGTCCTCTGGGTGAGAGAGTCCACACAGCTTTGTTCATTGTGAACTGGGGTGTCATTGTGAGTGGCACAGAACCACTCATGTACCTACATACCTGAATCCTCTGTGTCTGATGATCTGACCCCCTAAGACTAGGACAGCTGGGCTGATGTGCCCGCCCATTGCTTTGCCTACCAAACCCTATCTTGCTTCAAAGCCAGGAAGAATTTTGGGTGCAAAGGGTATGGAGGATGTAATCCTAGGATCCTGGCTCCCCAGCAGCCTTTGCAAAGGCTCCTTAAGTGCTGTTCTGGAGAAAAATCTATATCCCTTGAAGCAAAAATTCAACCAAGAGAATAAATGGTTCCTAGAATGGTCTGTTTTGTGGGCAAAGTATAACCTATAACCCGTTCCTCCAGGTGGGTGGCAGGGTGCAGAGGGAGTGGTGAGGCTTGCCCAAGGCTGTGCTGGGGCCAGAAGAAACCCTAGGAGGATACTTGATTTCTTGTCCTCTTCTTTATTTAGAGGATACTCTGTCTCTCCCTCTGAAAAGTGGTCTAATTTTACAATTTTTTTTCCTAAGTGAAAGTGAAGCCACGTAGACCCCTCTGTTGTCAAATACCTGACAAAGCTGGCCTGTTAGTTCCAGACCCTTTGCACATACGTTTGCACATATGTTTTAGACCTTGGCCCCAGGGCTAACTATGGGTGGCACTGGAGGAGCTGTCAGATGGTAAATGAGAGGGGCCAGTCTGGGGTGACTGTGAGGGTAAAGTGGGGAACCTGCTGCCCTGGGAACAGGCAGTGAAAGTAGAGCTTTGCTTGGCCTCTGCGCTGTTTGTCTCTGTAGCTTAGCTCTGCCTGTGCTTCCAGGCTCGAAGTAGGAAAAACACACAAGTACAAGCTGGCTTTTCATATATTGTATATAAAAAAGTCAGATTTGGGTGAGTGGACTGGAACTGCCCCAGAATCTGTGTGGGGCTGCTGCTGTGGGAGACACCTCAGCTTTTCTCCAGGTCTGCCACCAGGTAGGGGTGGGTGTTTCTCAGGGCCTGAAGGAGCTGATCTTTGCAGGTCTTGTCCCAGGCTGGAGCAAAGCTGAGGAGCTTCCTCATCTTCATTGTGTTGGTGGACTCCGCCCGCACTGCCTCATACTGCCCGTCTGACAGGACCTTCCCGTACAGGGCGTCCAGCACCGCTTCCACGTCTGTGACGCGTGTGATGAGGGCTGCCCGGTGCTGGTCCACGAAGTGCGGTGCTGTGGGCAGAACAGAGAGCCCCTGAGCCAGTTCCCCAGGGTGGGTACGGGCGTCTGTTCCAGCACTGCTTGCTTCAGAAATTGCTCTAACTCTTAAGGGGTGGGGCTCAAGGTGGGCAGCCCACCCACACTACAGATATTAGGAGGATAAGTAGAACTTTGTTTCTCTTTCCCTCCTACCAGCACCCGCCCCAACGGGTGTGGCCCAAGGAGTGTGTAGGTGCGTGGGAAGGGTGGGCCCAATCTTGCTCCCCTTGTTCCTGGCTGTGGGACACAGCTGCTTTGTTTCAGGCTGATGGGGTGTGATGGGGTGTGGCTGAGAGGTTTGGAGTGGAGGCCTCACCTGGCTTGGTTCCAGTCTGGTAGTCCTGGATCCCAGCAGGCCCTGGAGCGGGGCCTATAAGGAAATTAGTCAAGTGGTCCCCTTCCAGTCTTACCATATCTTTGGTCTCTCTGGGGTTAGGGGCCCCTTGGTCTGGAAGCCAAGTTCAAGGCCAAGCACAGGAAACCTCCCTTCCCAGAAGGAGAAGCTTTTGTAATTTTAGAGGGTAGGAGGAACAGGAAGTGAAAGAGCCCCAGGGGCAAGTGTTGGGGGGGGGCTGGTGCAGTGAGGGGGTATAGGAGGTGGCCCCTGCAGAGTGTGTAGGGGGCGAGCTCACCTTTGCACTTGATCTGCAGGTGCTCTGCTATCTCCTGCATGCCAATCTCACGCAGCACGATCATGGTGAGCTCTGCGCTGTACTCTTCCAGATAGGAAGAGACGAGCTTGTCTGTGAGGTCCATGGCGTCCATGGACATCAGTGTCCCCCGTGGGATGCGCCCATAGCCTTCGCGAAGGGGCACTGAAAGTAGCTTCAGCTTGAACTTCTTGAACTCGTCTGCAGTCAGGTTCTCCAGTGCGTCCAGGATGGCGTCTCGAGTGCACCCCATGGCTCTGGGGTCCTCTGCTGCTCTCGTTCACCCGCTCACCCGGGATGTGTGCAGATCAGGAAGTCTGCTCTGGGGCGGGACCTGGAACTCCCCGCCTTCTCCCGATTCCTGCCTTTGCCCCAGGCCTGTGGCAGAGGGAAACCCTGATTATCCCATTGGTTCCCACCCACCAAGGTCTCCAGACTCAATAGCTTGGCCATCGGGGGGCGCCCAGATTGCATCCTGCAGCTGATGTGTAAGGGTGGGACCAGGGAGATGCCACTGAGGGCCTTCTAGGGTAGTGCCTGCATCTCCAGGCTTGCAGTAAAGACCACAGACCAGGGGAACCTGGTTTATTGAAGTGCCAAGGTTTAGAATCTTGAAGTTCTAGAAAACTATAATGTCCACATTTCCTTGAACCTTAGCATCCACTCTCACAGGTCATAGAATCTTAGAATCATAGAATTCTAACAGCCAGAACCGGGTAGCTTGCCAAATTCCACATAGTGGGAAGAAAAGAGATGTAAAAAAAGGGTAGAGGGGCACCTGGGTGGCTCAGTTGGTTAAAGGTCTGCCTTCAGCTCGGGTCATGATCCCAGGACCCTGGGATGGGCTCCCTGCTCAGCAATGAATCTGCTTATCCCTCTCCCTCTGCCCCTTACCCTTGCTCATGCATGCTCGCTCGCTCTCTCTCGCTCTCACTCAAAACCTTACACAACTATTTTTTTTTTTTTTTAAGATTTTGTTTATTCATTAGAGAGAGAAAGCATGAGAGGCGGGGAGGTCAGAGGGAGAAGCAAACTCCCTGTGGAGTTGGGAGCCTGGTGTACGATTCGATTCTGGGACTCCGGGATCCTGACCTGAGCCGAAGGCAGTTGTTTAACCAACTGAGCCAGCCAGGCGCCCAAGTTGTATACTTTCTCTGCCTCGGTTTCCTTATCTGTGAAATGGTATCATAACACCCACTTATCCACTTAATATTCTTAATATTCCAGCATAACATGGGGTACCTGATGCCTTCTGAAACCTCCTAGATACTTCCTGGGACAACCAGGATTTGGTTCCAGCAGCTGAATTTCTGGGGAAATGATGATGAGACACTTGTGAAACTTCTTGACTGGAGGGAAAGTTATGGAGCCACTCTGGGCCCAGAGGGCTTGATGTAGAAGAGCAAGTGAAAGGTGGCATGAGTAGGCATTGGAGCCCAAGCTGTGCCCAGAATCCTTAACTTGCCTTTAACATGTCTGGGAAGGCCCTGCTGGTCTGGCCCCTCTTGAACCTCAGCAGCCTTGTCTTGTGCCATACCCTGTCCTCCTTCCATCTCTGAGTTTCAACCACACTGGCCTCTCAGTTCCTCAAATGTGCAACACTACTTTGTTTCTCCAAGCCTTTTTTCGGTTTTGTTTTTTAAAGATTTTATTTCAGAGAGAGAGACCATAGTGGTAGACAGGCAGAGGGAGAAGTGGACTCCCCACTGATGTGGGACTCTGTCCCAAGACCCTGGGATTATGACCCCAGCTGAAGGCAGACACTTAACCTACTGAGCTACCCAGGTGCCCCTCTCCAAGCCTTTCAACATGTTCCCTTGACCTGAGAATCTCTTCCCTTACTCTTGGCCTGCTAAATTCTTGAGACTTTAGGTCTCCAGTTAACTGTCACTTCCTCTGGCCAACCAGGTTTAGAATTCCTCCCAGACTAGTTCATAACCCCTGCTCTCACAGCAATTGTGACTGGATTGTAACTACGTGGATTTGCTTGGCATCAGTCTTCCCTGCCAGTCTGTAAATTGTGCCTGTCCAGATCATTGTTGCATCCACAGCATCTAGAACAAGCGTATGGTGGAATCAGTAATGAATGAAGGGAACTTGTGGGAAGCAAATCATGAGAGAGAACAAACTGAGGGTTGATGGAGAGAGATGGGTATTAAGGAGGGCATGTGTTATAATGAGCACTGGGCATTACATGTAAATGATGAATCGCTGAACTGTACTCCTGAAACCAATATTGAACTATATATCAACTAACTAGAATTTAAATTAAAAAACAACAACGAAGGCACCTTGTGGTTCAAGGGAGGATACCAGTAACTGGAGGGCTTGGTTTACATACAAACTTTCGAAGAGGCAGCTGCCAGGAGCTTGAAGACTGGGCTTGAAGCTGTACAGTGTCTAGTTTGAATCTGGGCTCTCCTTCCTAGGTGGGTATTGGGAACCCATTTCTCCAGTTCAGCTGGGTTGTAGCAATCACCATTCCTTTTGCTGATGTGCTCCTGACATCCACATTTATTTATTCATTTATTGGACATCCATCGCCCATCAGAATGTGAGCTCGGTGAGAGCAGGGACCTAGTCTGTCTTGTTCATTGCTGAATCCCCGACATCAAGAGAGTGATACATAGGAAGTGTGCAGTGAAGGTTTGCTAAAGGAAGGAATAAATGAGGCCATGGTACCTGCAGCGTGTTGTATTCAAGAGCTCCCAGCAAGGGTAGTGGCAGGGCTCACTCCCCATCCTTGTTCATGTTGCCCCATGTGGTCTGGGTATGTTGTGTGCCAACATCCTCACCATGGGTGGCACTTGTGGTCCAATAGCCAATGTTCCTTGGCTTATGGCTGTTTATTATTGTGCCTCTTCACTGGTCTTTATCTTTTTAGAATCTCTAGTTCATTTTGTACGCTGTGGCCGACAGGCTACCTCTTCCTACCCCACACATCGACCTTACTCCATCCCTGCTCAGAAACCTGTGACTCTCCAGTGCCCTCAGAATCAAGTCCAAGCTCCTTGGCTTGACCTTCAAGATCCTTGCTAACCTCCTTAGCTACACTTTCGACCCTGTTAGCCTCTGGACTTCCCTCCATAAGTGGCAGCTGTCCTCTGCTTGCCCTCTTTCCCCTTCTGGTTGGCTTGATGAGTTACTGCTTGTCCCAACATTCATCAGGAGTCAGGCTCCATGCCCAATGTGGAGCCTGACACTGGGCTTCATCTCACCATCCTGAGATCATGACCTGAGCGGAAGTTAAGAGTCAGAGGCTCAACGGACTGAGCCACCCAGGCACCCCTGTTTTATTCTAAATACATGTATTAAGGATCTACTAGACGCTCACCCACGTGGTAAGTGCTGGTGGGATACAGTAATAGTAGTAATAACAGTTTCCATTATTATTATTATTATTTTTTAAAGATTTTATTTATTTATTTGACGGAGAGATCACAAGCAGGCAGACAGGCAGGCAGAGAGAGAGGAGGAAGCAGGCTCCCCTAGAGAGCAGAGAGCCTGATGCGGGGCTCGATCCCAGGACTCTGAGATCATGACCTGAGCCGAAGGCAGCGGCTTAACCCACTGAGCCACCCAGGCACCCCCAGTTTCCATTATTTAGAATTTACTATGTTCTAGGCATGTGCATAACATAACATAACATAACATAACATGCATAATCTCATTTAAACCTCCTGACATCCCCGTGAGGCATGTTAATTATCCCACCATACATTGGAGAAAACTGAGGTTTTCAGAAATTACTCTCGAAGCCAACAATGGTAGTAAATGAGGAAACACAGATTGAACCATCTGATCCCTAGGCCCAAATTCCAACCACCATCCTTACCTCCTTGAAAAATGACAAACGGCTTGGAGAGATTATGTATATGTAAATTTATGCCTCCTCCAGACTGTCCACAAACATCTTAGGAGGGTAGATATTACGATAGGAGTAATGATAACATTAACTTCCTCCTCTTTGCAGAAAGCTCTAGAACTTACATTCAGAAGATGGTTGAATAGTGGGAAAGGAAGGAGCTGACTGGTATCAGCCCCACTCAGATTTGATTCCCAGATCCTCTTAGCTGTGACTTAGGGAGGTCACAGCCCCTCGCTGGGTCTGTGTTCTGTAACATGAATGTGCTCACCTCATCAGCCCGTAGGGAATCAGGACCCTGAGAAGGGCAGTGACTTGGCCAAAATCAGGGAGGTAGAGGCAGAGCCTACTTGTTCCTGGACACTGCCAGGGTGATTTTCATCTGGGGAAGTGGGGAACAGGAGGTTTGGGCAGCTCTCTGGGAAGCCATGATAATCCCTTCTCCCTCAACACCACCTTTTCTGGGGGGGGAGTGCCCAGAGCTCTGAACTTTGATCCCTGGCAAGGAAAGAACTTTCAAGTTTTACTTCAGGCCCACCCTTGCCCCTGGACTGGAGCCAGAGCTGTTGTTGGTGGTAAGATGCCTCTTGGGTGTGCTTCTCCCCACCTATAACCAAAGAAACCCTTGATCGTTGGAACCAGATTGCTTCTTCTGCAGCCAAGACCACAGATCTCCAGAACATGGTCAGGTCACTTAATCTTGTCCCTCATGGCCTCCTGTAAAATAGAAACAATGCTGGGTGGTTACAAGGTTATAAATGAGTTTATGAGGGTATAAATGGATTAAGAATGGTGAAATGGTGGGAACAGGTAGGTGATTTTGTCACTTGTTAAACTTGTTAAAGTTTCTGAGCCTTAGTTTTCCAGTCTTTGAAGTAGGGATGATGTTATTTACCTTATAGAGTTATATGGAGGATTCCTTGGAATACTTAGTAATAGTAATTGTAATAATATCAATAGCCAACATTTATTGAACATTTCCTATGGGCTTGGCATTGTTATAAGAGTTTTGTATGAATTAGTTTGCTGAACCTTCATAACAATCCAAGAATTTTTTTTTTTTAAAGATTTATTTGAGAGACAGTGCATGAGTGAGCTGGGGGAGTGGAGTGGAAGGACAGAAGGAGATGGAGAGAGAATCTTCAGCAGACTCCCTGCTGAGAGCACAGGCTGATGTCGGGTTTCATTTCATGACCCCGAGATCATGATCTGAGCCGAAATCAAGAGCTGGATGCTCAACTAACTGAGCCACTCAGGTGCCCCAATCCAAGGGTCTTTTTTTTTTTTAAATTTTATTTATTTATTTGACAGAGAGAGAGAGAGAGTGAGCGCACAAGCAGGGAGAGCAGAAGGCAGATGGGAGGGAGAAGCAGGCTCCCTGATGAGCAAGGACCCCCCCAACCCCCTGCCCGGTGTGGGGCTTGATCCCAGGACCCTGGGATCATGACCTGAGCCAAAGGCAGATGCTTAACGACTGAGCCACCCAGGCACTCCGCACCCCCAATCTAAGAGTCTTAATAAAAATCCTTACATGGTTCCCATTTTACAATTGAGAAAATCAGGTTAAGTGACTTGCCCAAAGTCACATGAGGAAAGAGCAGAGTCAAGATTTGAGCCTAGTGGTGGCAGTCACTGCCCCCTAAGCCCCTGGGTGTCAGCACACTGCCTCTGGTGTTTGTTTAATATAATATCTGGTTTAATCCTCATAACAACCCTAAGGGATGGTATTATTTTCCTACTTATCCTCATGTTGTAGCTCGAGAAGTTGGAGTCCAGAGAGATAGGTAACCTTCCTGGGTGTACGCAACATGAATTTGTGACATCAGCATTCAGGACCTGCTTTTGCTCTGGCCCTGATTGGAGGATTTCTGCCTTCTTCTGCATTTACCCAATACAAGGAGCTCTTACCTTCCATGGCATTTATGACTTCAGCCATTGGGAAGCTCTCCCTTAGGACAAGCCAAAATCTGCCCCCTCTGAGCCCTGGCTGCGGGGACTTAAGAGAGCTTCCTCTTAGGGTTAGCAACCCAAGTCCTTACTTCCTTCTCAATATGTTCCCTGCTGTCGACAACCAGTGTCCCTCCCATGGGTCAGAGGTCAGATCTGGCCCATGCACAGGGAGAGATTGAGTTGACTGTCACCCCCTTGTCCTGGGCACCCACTCCTTTTGACCAAAGCCTTCAGCCTCAGCCTGGCAGTGATGGAAACTCCAGGTGAGATCAACATTCAGCACATTGACTTTCTGAGTGGAAGTAAGGTAGCTTGTGGTTTCAGAGACCACCTCCAGATATGCTGTCATCCCCACTCCCTCCTGTTCAGGGAAATCAAACCTCCCTGGGCTGCTCAGGGTTCTGGTAAAAAGCCCTAGGAGCTTCCTGAGACTTTTTAATACTTTAGTCATTTGTGTAGCCAGTGGCTCTCATCCAAAAGAATAATAAGACTTATCTCTTCCTGAGAGGCCTAAATCATGATAGTGTGTACAAGGTTCCTAGGTTAAGCCCAAAGGTGCCAGGAAGCCTGGGGAAGCTTCCTAAGTGGGCCAGCAGGCAACATGCAAGAGCTTCAAATGTTTGAGAAGAAATGAGGGGCACCTGGGTGGCTCAGTGGGTTGAGCCACTGCCTTCGGCTCGGGTCATGATCTCAGGGTCCTGGGATCGAGCCCCGAATCAGGCTCTCTGCTCAGCGGGGAGCCTGCTTCCCCCTGCCTCTCTGCTTACTTATGATCTCTCTCTGTCAAATAAATAAATAAAATCTTTAAAAAAAAAGAAGAGGAAATGAGCTGCAGAACTTGGAGACAAGTCTGAAGACTTGTCATATTTAGGTTTTACTCATGCTTTTGGGATGCAAGTCATTGTTTATCTAGACACTGCTTTGGGATTTAACAAATTATTAAAAGAAATGGGAAGGGGTGGGAGGGAGGGGGTGGCTGGGTGATGGACATGTAGAGGGTATGTGTTGTGGTGAGCTCTGAGAATTGTGTAAGACTGATGCATCACAGACCTGTACCCCTGAAACAAATAATACATTATATGTTAACAAAAAAAAAAAAGAAGAAGAAGAAGAAGAAAAAAAGCATGGGTTGGGAGGGAGGGTAGGAGAAGTTACCAGAAAAAAAAAAAAAAAAAACACACAACAAAACAAATGGGAGGTTCAGTTCATAAATATAACTTTTGTATATAAATACAAGAATGCTCTGTTTAAGTAACTGAGTTCTTCCCCCAACCCCCATTCACATTTTTCTAGGGTTTTGATCAAGCGCAAGCGAGCAAATCTATATTTAATCAACAAGGCTGGGGCGCCTGGGTCGCTCAGTGGTTTAACGCCTCTGCCTTCCACTCAGGTCATGATCCCAAGGTCCTGGGATCCAGCCCCACATCAGGCTCTCTGTTCAGCAGGGAGCCTGCTCCCCCCACCCCACTCCTTTGCCTGCCTCTCTGCCTACTTGTGATCTCTGTCTGTCAAATAAATAAATAAGGTCTTTAAAAAAATCAGCAAGGCTTAATAAGATAATCTTAAAATTAATCTATTATAAGATCATGAAGATTAGAGAGCTGTGCTCTTCCATTTGATAGCTACTATCAACACATGACTCTTGAGCACCTGAAATGAGGCCAGTCTGAAATGAGATGTGCCCTCAATGTAATATACACACCTGATATCAAAGACTAAGTATGAAAGAAAGAATGTAAAATATTTTGTTAGTATTTTTTTTTAGTAAGCTCTATGCCCAACATGGAGCTTAAATTCATGACCCCGACATCAAGGGTTGTGTGGTCTACCAACTGAGCCAGATGGGTGCTCCACATTAGTAATTTTCATATTAGTTACAAGTCAAATGATAATATTTTGGATACATTGGGTTAAATAAAATATCTTTGTGAAATTAAAAAAAAAAACAAAACAGGATAAAAACAGCAAAACCAAAGACTTGAGCTGAGACGTGTAGGGAGTTATCTGGCTCCTGGGGAGATATATTTACTTGTCAAAGAGTTGGAGGAAGAAGATCTTTAAGGGGGCACCTGGGTGGCTCAGTGGGTTAAGCCTCTGCCTCCGACTCAGGTCGTGATCTCAGGGTCCTGGGATGGAGCCCCGCATTGGGCTCTGTTCTCCGTGGGGAGCCTGCTTCCCCGCCCTCCCTCTGCCTGCCTCTCTGCCTACTTGTGATCTCTCTCTCTCTGCCTGCCTCTCTGCCTACTTGTGATCCATGTCTGTCAAATAAATAAATAAAATCTTAAAAAAAAAAAGATCTTTAAGCAGGGGATAGGGGCAATTGATTTCTTCTCCTCGATAATCAGGGAAAGGAATTCTTCCTTGTGGATCCTCTGTAGGGTATCTGGCTACTGTCATGGGCCAGTTAACTTGGCTCTTATCCCATCATCCTAGGGCACAGGGAGCCAGATATTTACTATTTCCTGGGAGAGATTTAGTAAGACTGTCTCTGATCCAGAACACCTCATATGCTCATTTGGGATAAAATTAATAAGAATGGACATTACAAACCCAAGAGAGAGGCAAAAAGAGAGTCCAAAGTCCTCATGTTTCTGAAACATAAGCAGAAACTCAGATTAAGACAGGCAGAATGTGGTTGAGGGAGGGAGAAATGGACAAATCCAGGAAAAGCTGAAAGGGTGGCTGAGAGGCCAAAAGAGGACTCAGTGACCTTGTGTGTTTATTCATTCACTGAGTACTTACTGAGCACCTGTAGTGTGCACATGCTTTATTCTAAATTGGAGACAAGCAGTGTATAAAATTTATGTTCTGGTAGGAGGAATCAGTCAAAAAAACCCAAGTAAAATATTGCTTGTCAGATAGTAATAAATGTTATAGGGAAAAATAGGGCAGGGGAAGGGAGATGTGAGATTTAAAATCAGGGAGTTGGGAAGAGCCTCACTGAAAAGGTGACATTGGGTAAAGATCTGAGGGAGAGGAGGATGGAAACCATGTCTGAAAGAGTGTTCCAGGCCGAGGGGCCAGCAAGCCCAAAGGCCAAGGCTGGAGTGAGCAGGTCCTGTTCTCCTGCTGGTGGAGCTAATAGGGTCAGTGTGATCTTGGAGAGCCAGAAACTTGGGGAGTAAGTGAATAAGTGGGTGACAAACTGGGGATGGGCCACAGGCAGGGAAGGGGGAGGCTGGAGAGTGTGGATTGGGGGTTGGGGGAGAAAGGAGACACTCCTCCCAATCGTGTTTCTGTCTTTTCTGTGACTTGAGAGGCCCGGTCTCCCTGCTGTTGTAATTTCTGGCTCCAGGCTGAGCCAGGGAGGGGCCAGTGGATGGGCCAGGACAGGTGGCCTTGACATGTGACGCTTGTCCGCTGACCACTCAGTCCTCACTTTTAGAACGCTTTCCAGAAGTGATGGAAAGGGGTGGGCAGGACGACTAAATATAGTCCTGGGGCCAAGACAGCCTGGGAGGGTCTGTCTGTGATTCACTCTGTGCCCTCACCAGTGGGGTCCACTGCTAGCTGCGCCTGTGAACCCCCGACTCTGCTCTGAGCTTGCTGTTTGCCTTTTGCCTGTTTTCAGACACAGCTCTGACCCTGCTAAGTTTGGGCCTGACCTTGAGTGGGCCTCCCAGGACTCTCTTTTTGCCTAAGATCTCCAACCAGACCTGTGAGTCCTGTGGGTCCTGTGGGCCTGAATATATGGGGGGAGGGGAGGCCTGGGGATCCTGGAGAGGTAGAGGGGCAGGGGTGGGGGCTCGGGAATTTGGGGCAGGGGCTGAGGCTGGGGCTAAGACAAGGGAAGGACTGCAACCTGGATCCTGTTTAGGAACTGGGATTGAGACAAGGTCCCTGTTAGTGGCTGTTTTGGGGGCTGGAGCTGAGAAATGCAGCTGAGACTGCTTTTGGGATCGAAACCGAGTACCCCCTCCGCTTTGGCCAGAACCAGAGTCCTTTTCTGTATGAGAAATGAGGTCTTTATAGGCTGGGGATCCTTCCTGTCTGGGGCTGGGGCTGGGGCTGGGGCTGGGCCTACCTCGGGGCTCTCCACGGAGCCTCCCTGACTGACCCCTCCTCTACTCAGGACCGTCATGTCGGCTGCGCCGGGCCTCCTGCACCAAGAGCTGTCCTGCCCGCTCTGCCTGCAGCTGTTCGAAGCGCCGGTGACGGCCGAGTGCGGCCACAGTTTCTGCCGCGCCTGCCTGAGCCGCGTGGCGGGGGAGCCGGCGGAGGACGGCACGGTGCCCTGCCCGTGCTGCCAGGCACTCACGCGGCCACAGGCGCTCAACACCAACCTGCAGCTGGCGCGCCTGGTGGAGGGGCTGGCGCAGGTGCCGCAGGGCCACTGCGAGGAGCACCTCGACCCGCTCAGCATCTACTGCGAGCAGGACCGAGCGCTAGTGTGCGGCGTGTGCGCCTCGCTCGGTTCGCACCGCGGCCACCGCCTGCTGCCCGCCGCCGAAGCCCATGCGCGCCTCAAGGTGCGGGAATCGATCCGGCTGCCTGCGGAGGCGGGGGAACCGGGGCGGCACCGGATTGTTGGCGGGAGCGGGGTCTGGCCGATCCGGAGGTCCCCGCATTGACCTGGATTCTGCGCTTCAGGGCCAGGGGAGCCTGCAGCTGTGGGGGACGCTGGCTGGGCGAGGCCGCTGGGGAATCGGGGCAGACGAGCTGAAGGAGGAGCCTGGCGGAGATGAGAGCCTGGTCAAGAGGCACTCAGGGGCAGGCCCTGGGAAACCGCTGCGGCCCCAACCTAGGTTTTCCGGACTTAGCGGGGGCCGCTGCTGCACCGCAGAGCTGGCTGAGCCGGGAGGAGAACAGGCGTCTGGGCCGGCGAGTCGCGGCCCTTCCGCGGGTGTAGGCGGGGAAGCTGGAACTAGAGGGACGGGGCTTGGGGGTGGGCGGCGGGGGCGGTGTGGGTGGAGGCCACCAAGCTGCTTCGCTGAGCCCGCGTTCTCCTCCGAGCTGCTGAACTTGTGCGCACCGCATCCGGCGGAGAGGGCAAGGCAGGCCTGGGAACGCTCCTCTATGCGCAGGCCCAGGTTGGCACCGAGACCCAAATCCACCTGTTTTTCTGGATGGAGCTGGGAGTCTTGAACGCTTGCTTACAGAGCCAACACACAGTTGTGCTCACCCCAAGGTTTGCGATTCCCACGGGTGCTCAGAAAAGATACCCGGAGATTAGTGAATAGAGACGCACATACACACACTGGCTCGTTCATGTCAGACGTGTGGCAAGTCACAGGCATGCAGCTATGGGAGAGTATGTGTCTACACAGGCCCAGGAAGGTCTGCCATGAAGCATTTGTGGGGCTGGGGAACAATAAACGACAGGTGCGGGAGAGGGGCAAGGTGGATTCTGGAGGCAGGGAACCGTCCTTAAATCCCGGCAGTGAAGCCGCCATTGGCTTCTCAGGAATGATGAGTGGGGTGGGCTTCTGCGGGTTATCTTTAGCCACAAACAGCGTACTGCGCTTCTGCTTCGCCCCCAGACTTCTAAAGAGGGTAGACCACTGTCCTCAGGCGGGTATTCGAGGCCCCCAGACTCTCCCAGGGACACAGCCTAACATTCTGTCCCCCTCCTGCCTTGCCCAGTCCTGCCCAGTGCTGATTAGTGGCTCTTAGACCAGTGCAGAAGCTTCCTCTTTCCAGGGGCCTTTCCAACTGAGACTCACCTTTGCTGGTAACCCCAGGACTCCCAGTCTGGGCCCAAGAGAGAGATCTGCGAAGAGGGAATAGAGTCCATGACATGGAACAGAGCACCAGGTGACCCAGGAGTCCTGAGGGCGCAGAGAGGTGGGATACATTCTGCCAGGATCCGAATCAGCCCCAGCCCTAAGACACAGGGAAGGGCTGGCAGGAATTCTGAAGAAGGGACCCAAGAAGGGTCTGATGGAGGAGGGAGACAGGAAAGCTGGGGCTGGGCTGGATGCCTGGGTCCTTGACGACAAAGAGGGCTTGGGTCCAGAGACCATGTACCAGGACTCAAGAGTGGTCAAATGGGATGTGCTGGGAACGGGGGACTGATGCGACCCCCCGAAACTGAGCTGCATCCTCCTGAGTGCCAATGTCGCACAGCATGACTGCCTTGGGTTCGGATCCCTACAGAGCCCGAGCTGTAGTGCTCACCGCTTGTGAGGGCAACCAGCTTGTGGGGACTCTAGCTGCCGGAGTGGCCACTGCAGGACATTCTGAAAGCCTTGGCATAGCAATTCCTCCCCCAGCTTCCGTTTGAACTTCTTGAGGTCATCAGCGGTCAAGTTTTCCCTGTGCAGCCAGGATGGCGTCACGCTTCTTCCTCATGGCTTAGCCCTGTTGCTGCTGAACCTCTGAGGGCTCCATGCTGAGAGCCACCAGGTCCGCCCTGTCCTGTGACAGGCTGGGCTAATCCTGGGGCATTTGCTAAGACTGGGACTCATCTGCAGGCAGAGCCCAGAGGGTCTCTCCGTTTCCCTTAGGGGGAGTAGGGAGGAGGCTACAGATCTGTCACAGCTATGGGTGAGGGGAGGAAGACTGCTTCCATTCTGCAAAAGACGAAACCGAGGTTGGAAGCCATTGGGGTGGGCCTGGGACCGTCTGATTCCAGGGCCATGCAGTTTTCCCACTAAGAGTGACTTCGGCAGGAGCTCTTAGTTTCCCTACACCTGCATTTCAGGGCTCATGAATTGGCAGGCCTACAGTAGGATCCCCCCACAAATGTGTTTGGTAGACACAGCAGATATATATATATATATATACATATATATATATATATGTATATATATATATATGTTTTTTAAAGATTTTATTTATTTATTTGACAGAGAGATCACAACTAGGCAGAGAGGCAGAGAGAGAGGGGGAAGCAGGCTCCCCGCTGAGCAGAGAGCCCGACGCGGGACTTGATCCCAGGATCCTAAGATCATGACCTGAGCCGAAGGCAGAGGCTTAACCCACTGAGCCACCCAGCGTCCCTATATATATATTTTTAAAGTAAGATTTATCCCCAAGGTGGGACTGGAGCTCACCACCAGGAGATCAGGAGTCCCGTGCTCTACCTGCTGAAAGAGCCAGCTGCCCCAACACGGCAGACATTTTCATTAAATTGCCTGCCCCCATAGCCCTTGGGTAGGCAGGAAGGCTGACTGGGGTGTTTTGCTGTTGTTCTGCTTTTAAGGATGGGGTAAAGCCCCAGGAGAGGAGGAGGTTGCATTTCTTCCTCATACACCCCACACTGACCCCAAGAGGCCTTCTGGGTCAGCGCTGTACCCCTCTGCTGGAGGACACCAAGCCGCGTTTGCATTTGTCACCCTCACAAAGACTTGTGCTAAGGGTGCTAACTGCGCAGGGTGTGGGATGAGGGATGGGAGGCCAGGGAGGACTTCCTGAAATAGTGGGAGAGTAGGGCGTTCTCACCATTGGGACCAGTGCCGGTGAGGGCCCAGAGATCAGCCCATGAGTCTGGGGAGTGGGGAGATGCCCACCTGACTGGGGGAGAGCTGGTGTTCAGGCCAAGCCAGAGACGGCAGGCCCAGGGAGGGGCGGGTGGGGCCGGGGCAGCCCTGTCACTTTCTGCCTCTGCCCCTCAGACGCAACTGCCCCAGCAGAAGCTGCAGCTGCAGGAGGCGTGTATGCGCAAGGAGAAGAGTGTGGCTGTGCTGGAGCACCAGCTGCTGGAGGTGGAGGTGAGTGGCTCAGCACGGCAGGGCCTGGGTACCAGGCGTCGGGCAGGGGCTCCTAGCCTAGTGCTCTTGCCTGTCTGCTCCTGCAGGAGACGGTGCGTCAGTTCCGGGGGGCTGTCGGGGATCAGCTGGGCAAGATGCGGGTGTTCCTGGCGGCGCTGGAGGGCTCCTTGGATCGGGAGGCAGAGCGTGTGCGGAGTGAGGCGGGGGTCGCCTTGAGACGAGAGCTGGGCAGCCTGAACTCTTACCTGGAGCAGCTACGGCAGATGGAGAAAGTCCTGGAGGAGGTGGCCGACAAGCCACAGACGGAGTTCCTCATGGTGAGCACTGGGTGACCTACCCTCTCTGCTTCTCAGCCAGGGTTTGGTGCCTAGAGACCTCATCCCATTGTCAGACATGGACTTTGAGGTCCAGAAAGGGGCAGGGACAAGGCCGGGTCACACATCGGAGAGGAACGGGCCCCTGGGGCTGCTGTTATGGTTGTTTAGGTTGCACACTGCACAAGGACACTGAATCTAAGTGGTCATCATTCATATCATAGACATTATAGGTTTGTGTGTTTATTTGGACAATCACCTACCCGGTGGAATTGGTCTCTTGAGGAAAGGGAGTACAGTTTTACAGTTCACACAGAGGCAAAGAGCTAGGGTTGGCCTTAAATTCTGGGTTCCTTTTGGCTCTTTCTGATTCTTCCTGACCTCCCACTTAGCATTCCTGGTGGTCTGTCCACCGTCAGAAGTCCCCAGTGTCTCCCCTGCCTGCCTCACCTCCATCTCTTTATCTCTCTTTCCAGAAATACTGTCTGGTGACCAGCAGGTGAGATCCACTTGGCCCTGCCCCTTTTCCCAACTTGCCCTAGTCTTCACACTTGCTGGCTCACCCTCTAATCACAGCAAGACTGTACACCCCCATTCCATCCACCGCCATCTGCCTGCATTTGTGTTGAGCACAGAAATGACCCTGACCCTGACCTGGTCCTTATCCTCAGGGACCTCCCAGACAGGTGCTGGGGATGGACATGGGCGGGGACACAGGCATCAGTAGGTGCTCAGTGCTGCCCTGGTGGGAAGGGGGTGGCTGGGGTAGGCTTCGCAGAGCAGGTCACATTTGCATGGGGCCGTGGAGGAGTGATGGGAGTTGATGAGGTGAAGAGTTGGGGGAGGAGACACAGCAGACAATGAGAAGGGCAAGAGCCAAGACTGGAAAGAGGGAGAGAGGATGAAGCCAGTGTGGGAGGTGAGGTCAAACTGAAGGGCTAAGGAGCCTGGCCCTTATCCCAACAGAAGGTTCTTCTTCTTTTTGGTGGGGGCTCCTGGCTGGCTCAGTCGGTGGAATCTGTGACCCTTGATCTTGGGGTCGTGACTTTTGAGTCCCACACTGGGTGTAGAGATAAGTAAGTAAGTAAAAAATTATGATAGAATATACACCATGTAAAGTTTGCCATCTCAACCATTTTTTGGCATGTAATTTTAAGTTCAGTGGCATCCACCATCTCCCTCTAGAACTTTCTCATCCTTCCAAAGGGAAACTCTGACAGAGTTTTAAGCCAGGGGTGACACAGGAGAGATCCTGGAACTCCACCACAGCCCACAACCTCTCTTTGGGGTAACACCTTGTGCCCTGCCCCTGCGCCATGCCTCCTCTAGGAAGTCCCTCCACACACACACCTGCCCCCACTTCCCCGCCCCCAGGCTACAGAAGATCCTGGCAGAATCACCACCACCTGCCCGGCTGGATATCCAGTTGCCTGTCATCTCAGATGACTTCAAATTCCAGGTGTGGAGGAAGATGTTCCGGGCTCTGATGCCAGGTACGGGGGAGGGGCTGTCTCCGGGTTTGTGTTTGTCACCGTGTGGTTGAGGGGAGGTCCTGACTACACAAGAGAGACCTCTCAGTCCCAGCTGGGAGGTCATCGAAGAAGGTGCCCATTGCTCCTTTACCTCTGGTGTTTGCTCTGCACCTTGTAACCTGTGCTCAGAGAAGAACCTCTGAGGCAGGGGGTTCATGGGGGGGTGACTGACGTGGGGAGGACTCTGCTTGCCGGGAAGCTGCTGCTGCCGTTGGCAAGCAAGGGAGGCTGGGGCCTGGGGGTTGAGCCCTGTGTGATCCTGGGTCAGTTCCTGCCGCCGCTGGATGGCGGCGATGATCACGGCTGCTAGCTGGAGGCTGAGGATGTGCAGAGCTGGTGCCCTGGGGATGGGCCTAAGCCAGAGAGTGACTCTGATGGCCACCCCTGAGAGTTAGGTCACAGTGAAGTGGCATTAGTTACAGAACTCCAGGACACGTGCACAGGGCTGGTATAGTCCTGACTGCCCTGGGGCGGGGAGGGGAGGGGATTCTGTTTTATCCAAGGCAAGAGTAAGGCCCAGAGACTGGCTCAAGACTTGACTGCCCCGGGTGTGGTGCATAAACAATGAATCGTGGAGCACTGAGAAGATAAAATAAAATTAAAAAAAAAAAAAAAAAAAAAAAAAAAGACTTGACTGTAGTCATACAGCTGGGCGAGGTGGGGGCTGGCCTAGGACCAGGCTTCCTGTCTCCTGCTTTGTGACCTGGGCTTTAGCTACAGACTTACATGCCCAGTATCCACGGAATCCTCCCTACCTTGAAAGGAGGCAGTTATGGCCTCGTTTTTCAGCAGAGCCAACTGAAGCTCAGAGACATCCAGTCTTTGGCCCACGGCGGGAAGGAGAGAGGGGCTCACCTCTCAAAGATGCTGGGGGGATGAGGGCAGACCGGCTGGCCCCTAAATTGATTGGGAGGAGCTTGCGGTAGGCAGACACGCAGGGGCCTGACCACTCCTCCCCCCCACCGCAGTTATGAAGGACCTGACCTTTGACCCGAGCACCGCCCACCCGAGTCTGGTGCTGTCTCCCTCTGGCCGCCGCGTGGAGTGTTCCGATCAGAAGGCGCCGCCGGCCGGGGAGGACCCGTGCCAGTTCGACAAGGCTGTGGCGGTGGTGGCGCACCAGCTACTGTCCGACGGCGAGCACTACTGGGAGGTGGAGGTGGGCGACAAGCCGCGCTGGGCCCTCGGCGTGATTGCGGCCCAGGCCAGCCGCCGCGGCCGGCTGCACGCCGTGCCCTCGCAAGGCCTCTGGCTGATCGGGCTGCGGGACGGCAAGATCCTGGAGGCGCACATCGAGGCCAAAGAGCCGCGCGCCCTGCGCACTGCGGAGAGGCGGCCGACGCGAATCGGGATCTACCTGAGCTTTGCCGACGGAGTCCTCTCCTTTTATGATGCCAGTGACGCCGACGCCCTCGAGCTGCTCTTTGCCTTCCACGAGCGCCTGCCCGGGCCCGTGTACCCCTTTTTCGACGTGTGTTGGCACGACAAGGGCAAAAACGCTCAGCCGCTGCTCCTCGTGGGGGCTGATGGCGAGGAGGCCTGAGCCGCCTGCTGGGCTGGGGAGTGTTGCAGGGTCCTGCAGGCCTGGAAGGCGGCCGGGCGGGCAGGGGCTGTTGGGACTGAAGGCAGGGCGGAGGGGCTTGGGGACTGGAGACTCTTAAGAGTTCTGAGATGTTCGGGGTTGGAGGGGTTGGGGTGAGTGTGGGGGAGGGAGATCTAAAGTCAGGTCAGCGAGGAAACCCCAGTTTGGGAACCAGGAAGCCCAAGGGTTCCAGGAAGAAATTGAAGTTGAGGGAAGGATTGAAAAGGGTCAGGGGTCGGGTCGGGGTGGGGTGGGGGAACTGCAGAACTCTGGAGAGCAAAGAGCCCCTTTTCCCTCCTTCCTGGTGGCCTTGGGGCTTGTGTGTGTGTGTGTGTGGAGTCCAGACTCACCACACAGAAAGATCTTTCCCTTTATGGTTCTACAACTTAAGCGTGCATCAAAATTACTTTTTCAAAGCGTGTGACAGTGACTTGTTGAAGCAGAGTGTTGTGTTTCTGGTTCGCTAGGTCTGGGGGCAGACCAAAATTTTGCTTTCCTTACAAGTTCCCGGGGCCATGCTGTTGCTGCAGGTTACAAGTGGGATCACCTGGAGAACCCCGGACTTGGACCATGGTGTGTTCAGTTAGCTCTCCATGACACAGAGGTAGTTATCAGATAGCTCTCAGCTCGCAGGACTAGAAAACCCACACTATATTCCTCTGGAGATTCAACAGTCATTGAAAAACTGCCAGATACCATGCTGAGTGAATAAACTGACCCCTAACTAGTTCCTTTCGCCTCTGGAGTATGATTACTGAGTGTCTTGGACATTGAAGTAATCCCCCAAGCTGCCAACCCAGAGAAAGAGTCTGATGCGGATCCCAGCCTGGGCCCTGCTGCTTGTGGAGAATAGAAGGCCTCCCCCACCAACCCCGCTTCTCCTGGGTTGGCCCCTCGCTGCTTACTCACTGGTTCACACCTTCTTTGGTTTTAGCTCAATGGCCCATTTCTTGGGCCCTGGAGTTACCACTGAGGCCCAGAGTGACAGTTCCTCTTCCTTAGAGGGAAAGGCCTGTGGGGACTCAAGCAGGTGGGACTGGAGGCTGCTGTCTCTCCTATCCGAGAGGTGACGGTATGGGACCATTTGCTCTCTGTGCCAGCATGCTGCTGCTGATGTGTGAAAGGGCATGGGAACTCCTGGAAACAGGTGCCAGTATGGGAATTTTCTTGGGGGATAGAGTGAAAGGAAGGAGTGGATAGGATAAGAAAGGCCTCAAGGTCTGGCTGGGGGCCATTCCTGGCTGTGTCTCCCAGAGGAATAGTTCTTGGACACTAAGGGTATTTGGTTGTCTAATTCAGTAGCATTAATAGAGACGGTTATATTCAGATTCCTTCCCCATTAAATCTTTGCGAAGAGACAAGTGACCTATTGCTAGGCCTAATAACCTCTTATTGTCCACCTGGCTTTTAGTCTTGACCCATCTCATCTTAGCAAAAACACAAATGTGGGGGCACCTGGGTGGCTCAGTGGGTTAAAGCCTCTGCCTTTGGCTCAGGTCATAATCTCAGGATCCTGGGATCGAGTCCCGCACCGGCCTCTCTGCTCAGCAGGGAACCTGCTTCCTCCTCTCTCTCTGCCTGCCTCTCTGCCTACTTGTGATCTTTCTCTCTCTGTCAAATAAATAAATAAAATTAAAAAAAAACAACAACAACCCACAAATGCGGTGGTGGGATCCGGTTGCTCAAAACTTTCAACAACTCCGTGTTCCCTGCAAGAGAAAGCCCTAGATCTTTGGCTCAGCACTTGGGACACCCTGCTATTCTCCAGCCACATCTACACTCTGGCCCTACTGACCTCTCGGGGTCCGTGTCGCCACACCACATAACTCTGTTAGGAATGCTTTTTTCTGTTTCCCACTCATCCTATAGGAATTTCCTAAAACACTATTTCACACGACTTCCTATCCTCTCTAGACCCCAGCTCACCTTTACAAGGTGCATTCCGATGTCCTCCTTGTCACGGACTGGCGACATCCAAGAACCCAAAGCCCCTTCCTGAAGAATTAGGTGCTCTGAGAAACAGGTGCCAAGACAGCATTAAATGTCAAGGGTTCTCTCATTAAATGAGGGAAGATGCCCATGTGGGAGCAAACAGGGCTGTCAGATTGTGATGCCAGTCTGACCCTGAGTGAAGGAGAGAGGGAGGGAATTTTGGATGAAAGTGTCCTTGATGGTTGTGGGGACTTCTCTACAAGCTGCCTGTGCAGAAAGCCCTGTGTGTCCCAGTATGGGCCCACCTTTGTGTCCCTGCCGTGTTTGGGTCATTTTTGGGAGCTGGCTTTGGGAGCTATGCTTGGCACAGGTGCAGGGATGGATTTCACAGCTCTTCAGCTGCTGCCCTCAGTCTTTGCTCCCCTTTGTTGGAGTTCTGTCAAGAAAATTTCTTTTCACAGCTGCTGCAGGTTCTTTCTACATAAAGTTACCTTGGCTTGAGCTGTGTGCATTGCGGGAAACGACCCTGGGATCTTGCCTATGGCTGACTGAGTGAGAGAGGTGGGGTCCCTGAGGCAAAGGCTTTCATGATGGGACATGTCTGTGGCAAACTTTGTCTAGTCAGAGTGTTCCTTGTTGGATGTTGGCCACCTGAACAATCCAGAATCTTCCTGGTGATGTAGGAAGTTGAAATGGGAGCACGGAGCTGGGTTACTCCATCACCCATGCCTCCAAAGACCAGAACCTTCTCCTTTAGTCCTTCCCCTTCATGGAGACTCTAAGAACCCAGAGCAACCGGCTGCTGAGAGGTTTCCTGTATCTCCCGACTTCTTTGTGTACAGGAACAAACTGCCACCTGCCAGGGTCATGCTACACTGCAAAACAAACAAACAAACAAGACCCCAAAAAACCCTTTTATTGAGAGCCTGTTATTTGATATTTTATCTGTCCTCATAGCTAAAGATCTACTAGGCTTTTTATTTTAAAAAACAATTATTTGAGGGGCGCCTGGGTGGCTCAGTGGATTAAGCCTCTGCCTTCGGCCCAGGTCGTGATCTCAGGGTCCTGAGATGGAGCCCCGCATCGGGCTCTCTGCTCAGCGGGGAGCCTGCTTCCTCCTCCCTCTCTCTCTGCCTTCCTCTCTGCCTACTTGTGATCTCTGTCTGTCAAATAAAAATAATTAAAAAAAAAAAACCAAAAAACCCCACAATTATTTGAGAGAATGAGTGAGTTGGGGAGAGTCAGAGGCAGAGGGAGAAGCAGGCTCCCTGATCACACAGGGTGATCCCAGGACCCTGGGATCATGACCTGAGCTGAAGGTGGATGTTTAACCTACTGAGCCACCCAGATGCTCTGGTTCTGTTGCCTCTATCCCTGAGGTTCAAGTAGCCTCTGGGAACATGATGGTATAGCCATGAAGGACCTGAATCCATTAGTGCATGATGCCTCTTGGAGTATCAACTTTATACTAAGATTATTATTATTCTTGATGGTAGTGGTGGTGAAAAAGTTCTATAATTTAACCCATAAGTAAACATTGCAAACGGTTTCATATTAAAACAAACATATTATGGAGTACAAAATTGATGAAAATTTTTGAGATCAAACAAGAGATGTCCACAAACTTCTGCATTTGTACTGGCGATGTGGATCTAGCCTTCTAGACCCTCAGGGATATGAATTCCTAAAATTATTTTAAAAAATTAAAAAAAATGCACAAGTATACTTAAAATTTTTTTATTATGTGATGTTAGTCACCATACAGTACATCATTAATTTTTTATTAATCATTTTTAAAAATTTATTTTCAGCATAACAGTATTCATTGTTTTTGTACCACACCCAGTGCTCCATCAATCCGTGCCCTCTCTAATACCCACCACCTGGTTCCCCCAACCTCCCACCCCCCCCACCTCTTCAAACCCTTCAGATTGTTTTTCAGAGTCCATAGTCTCTCATTGTTCACCTCCCCTTCACATCATTAATTTTTGATGTAGTGTTCAGTGATTCATTGTTTGCATGTAACACCCAGTGCTCCATGCAATCCATGCCCTTCTTAATATCCATCACCCACAATAGCCAAACTGTGGAAATAGCTGAGATACCCTTCAGCAGATGAATGGATAAAGAAGATGTGGTCCATATACACAAGGGATATTACTCAGTCATCAGAAAGGATGAATACCCAACTTTTGCATCAACATGGATCGGACTGGAGGAGATTATACTGGTGAAGTAAGTAAAGCAGAGAAAGTCAATTGTTTTTACTTACTTGTGGAACATAAGGAATAGCATGGAGGACATTAGGAGAAGGAAGGGAAAAATGAAGGGGAGAACTCAGAGGGGGAGACGAAACATGAGAGACTATGGACCCCGGGAAACAAACTGAGGGTTTTAGAGGGAAGGGATTGGGGGGATGGGTGAGCCTGGTGATGTACAAATATACTTAATAATATCTTACAGATAAGGGGAATGTTCTCTGACCATGTTTCCCTCCCCCACCCATTCCTAATTTCTTCTTTTTCTTCTTCATCAGAAATAATATCTGTTGTCAGTTTGGGGAGTAGTTTGCTGGGACTTCCTGTACATATATGTTCCACAGAAAATACATAGTATTATATTTTTCTTTCTATATAAATGATATCATACTCTTCATAAACATGACATATTCTACAACATATTTTTTCATTTAGTCATATAGTTAGGAGATCTATCCATGTAATATGTAAAGTGTACCTTCTCCTTTTAACTGCTGTATAGTATTCCACTATATGAATGTGGCATTGCTTACTTAATCATTCCCTGATTAATTGGTATTTGTTTCTATTTTTTGTAATTACGAACTGTGCTGCAATGAGCATCCTTGTATATGCTCCTATATGCACATGCACAAGGGTTTCTCTAGGGTAGATTCTGAGTGGTGGAGTTTCTGTGGTCTAGCATGTGTGCCTTTAAAGTTTGAATAGGTGGGGTACTAAACAAGAAAAGTATGCAGCTAGGCTGTCACTGAAGATAGAAGGAGTGATAAA